TAAGATAGTCCATTAAGATGCGTATCAAATAAGTACTTATACTGTGTATATAAAGTTAAAGATAATTTAATTTATTGCTAAATTTATGAAAAACTTATTAAAAATGCTTTAATTAAACTTAAATATAATTGGAATAAAACTAGATGCCGGAGCTTTGTCTACATCTAAGATAGTCCATTAAGATGCGTATCAAATAAGTACTTATACTGTGTATATACTCTTGGGAAGCAAAAAGCTGAAGTAACGGAGTCCACCGATATGGCAGGATTTAATAACTCTCCGTTCTGTAAATGGCAAGACGCAGATGCCGGCAACGCGCTGTGCTGATGTCGATTTTCTATCGCACTGTGATTATCTTCACTTTATCATATCTTAATATAGGAAAAGCTAAAAAATGTAACTGTATAATAGTAGCTTATTTGAAAAGAGACTTCTGCCGATAAGCTACTAATAATACTCTTAATTTCTTTTCCATGGTGTGACGGTTGGCCGGTTAATCTGATATCTCATATGACTGCCACAAGTTATTTTCTCAAAAAATCCTCTATTTCATCAGTCATCATATATATTACTGTATTGAAAGTTGAACCAGAAAGTAGGTTCATTACCTAAAGATAGTCAATTACTCGGCGCAAGATTTAAGACAAGTAAAGGGTTGTCGAAGCTAAAAAAAAGTAGGTGGTATGATAAACGATTGTACTGAAACTTATATTACAAAATATCTATCGACGAATTTTTCAACAGCACTCAATATTCTACACTGTCTCAAAAAATACAGATGATTACAGAGCCGTTATTGCTTTATTCAGATAGTCAATGAAAACAATGATAATTGATCATATGATAAAACGAAAAAAAAACTAAATTTAGTGTTAAATTTACTGTGATTTAAAGTCGGTGCAATTTGAACACAATGGTAGTTTTATTAACATCATTTTACTTGAAATACTCTCAAACGTCGGAGTATTTTATCGACATTACTGACATCACTAAGTGAACCTGTGGAACAAGAAAAAAGCTCGTGCTTCATGTAGTATGATGAACCACCATCATGCGCTTTGTATGTGCTCAGCATATCATTTGCAACATCGACAATGCGGAATAGATCATGTTCCGCATTTAGTTTATCTGGATTATTTACAATTAAGTGCTCGGAAACAATTAATTAAGTTGTTATATATCTTTAATTGTATGTAAATAAACGTTTCAATGAAATGAATAAATTATTATGAATACTTATTAAATAATAATAATAACTTAACACATCTACCACACGACATGATTATGTATGATTCGAAACTAGGCAGAGCTATGGTAACCAGACTGCTGATAAACATACTTATGTATTTCTAAATACATATATATTATGGATAAATTACACTCAGACACTGAATAAATCATCGTGATAATCACACAATTATTTAATTATTTGTCCTGGGTGGGAATCGAACCCACGACCTCTGGCTTAACCGTCAACTTAACCCCTAGGCCAACGGGTCAGTAAAAAAAAAACATATTTTTATACAAACAAAAAAATAATATAATTTAGTAATTTCATAAGAAATGGAGCAGAATCTAAGTCTGATGCAGATACGTGTCCAAAGAGTAAAAATCATTAAACTCTACAAATTTAAAAACTGTAATAATAAAGTTAAAATACATAATTAAAATGTCTATAAATTTGTAGAACAATATTAACTTTCAAAGAATTAAGGTTTTACAATTTGTTTTAGCTATAAACACGCTACAGATGTAAAAGTAAAACATTTTAAGACATTAGTCACACCGGCGAATATGTTCCAAAACTATTGTTTCGACAATGTGTTTGACGTACGATTCACATACTGCTTACTCTATTTCTGGAATAGTTTACTTTACGGCTCAGTTTTTGTGAGCGAATAAAACATTGATGGTACGATTTGACGATTTCCAAGTGTAAAGCATTATTTTAAGAAATGAACGTCAATTCATCGAAACTATAAAATCTTTCTAGGTGCATCTAAATAGATTTGATTCTATGAGCTCAAGCAGTTGACATTTATATGCATCGTTAGAGGTTTTCGTCATTATTCTGTGTACGTGACCGACGGCGTCGTCTCGCTACGGTTCTTTTGATCGGCAATCAATATCATTCAGTGTTCAATTTATCCTAAGATTTACGTTTACATTGTTAAATTCCACACAATTACTCAAGATGGTATGAGAACTGATCCATTCTCAAATATAAATATTCATAGCATTAAACAAACAGGTCGGATATGGGTGGAAATACTGGTACTAGAGATGCGCAGGAGCAAATTACAAATAACGCATTAAATTACTTTTAAATCCAATTGAATCACTAGCTTATTTCAAACGTCATCCCGTTATGAGGTCTTTAATTATTATGGCATATACAAAATTATGATAAAATAGTGATTTAAATCAGTGGCAGAGGTTCGTTAGATGATGCCGTATAAGGTAAGTCAGACGAGTTGTTGGCGCCAAAGATATATCACTATGAGTCAAGACACATCTAAGAACCTTTGTAACATTATGAATACGTAAAATGATGGTAAAAATACATGAAACATTTTGTAAGATATAATTATGTAAATGTTAAACAATGGTGGTGGTATTTAGTAAATAATAAACGTATTGGTAAAAAAAAACATTACAATGCATACTTAGTTCATCTAGTCTATTAATAATATTTTATCTTTGGCATTTATGAGTATTGTTTAATCTTCTTTTTCTTTTCTATCAGGCATCTAACTATCCTGATGCCTGATAACGTGTACTAATTGGTACATCAATTTTAGTAAGTTTAGTAAAAAAATGGATAGGTGGTCAAAACTTACGAACGTGTAAGCATTAAAAATATTTTGATAAGGTGAAAAGGATCTTGGCACGATACAAAGAATACTGTTATCTCATTTTAATAGTGAATCATACCGTTCATTGAACTCCTTGCCAAAAAAGGTATTGACTACGAGTTTGTCTGCAAATTAATACAAATCTCTGTTACTTAGCATGAACGGACGATATTGTCGAGGGTCATGCTGTCATGCATGCATCAACAATCATTCCAAAGAGGAGATAGCCCTGACATAAGTCACCAAATGAAGTAGGCTGCCAACCTTGCGTTTCTATTTGTATGACTAGAACACCGCTGCACTATTGCATTACAAAACTCATTATTTGATATAAGGGGCAGAACATTGGAGAAATGCTTATATAAGAGAAGATAAAATAATTAACATTTTATGCATAAAATGTAAGTACGCAAGATGGCTGGGTGCGAGAAGCCCAAAATTGATCTAAGTGGCATGCAATGGGAAAGGCCTATGTCCAGCAGTGGACTGCGATAGGCTGATGATGAAACAAGACAATACATAAAATATCAAGCACTAGACTATTTTCGCGATTAAAAATAATGTGATTTTTTAGTTGCCACAGATAAATAAAAACATAAAAAAATTGCCATAATCGGAGTATTAAGTTATTAACAAAAGGGTCAGCATAATAAAACCTCTGTAAATTAGTCATTTCTTTAGATACAAAATTGTCTCAGGTACCTAAAGTATTGTACATGTACGAAGGCCTAGATAGGCCTAGTAGATTACTTGAAATGCAGATGACCTTTTAGTGTTCTGCAATTAAAATATTATTACGAAGATTATTACACGGATGATAATTTACACATATAAAAATAATGTTCCCACAAATGAATTAGAATAAATAAATAATAAACCGATATGAATTAATTACACGAATGTTTACAAAGCAATTGATGTTCATCACAGTTATAATTGCTTGAGTACATCTCACAAATAATGCACGTAAGTTTGAAGAGTATCCATACAGAAGTGTTTACTCTTTGCCATTACAAACACCGACTCGAAACACAGTTTAACTCATGACAGTTGAATAATTAATGAGTGAACAATTACTTTACCGTTTACTTACAGAAAGTTCTCATTCATATTTTGATAAATGACTGTGAATGAAGCAGAAGTCGCATAAATTTGACAAAATATTTGCTTTCATTTTAATAGATTCAAGGTAAAATATGTTCTTTAAAATATCTATTGATATCTATACTCATAACGAAGCTTTTTTGTTTTTGTTTCAATAATAATTATTATATTTAATATAGTATTATTATTGTTTTACCGACTGTAGATTTTATTTTAAAAGTTAATTTACAAACCGTTTTTTTTTAAGAAATGGAAACCTACATTATTAGCAAGTATCATAGGTTTCTTTTTACTGCGATAATGGCCATACACGCGGTCAGAGCCGCGGACAAAAGCTAGTTATCAATAAATTAACTTAAATAATTCTTAATAAATTTTTATTTTGAAAAACCCGTCAATTATAACTTTTGTGTTTGTTTTTAAAGTCGACTTGCTGCAGAATTTTTACGTCTTATATATTTTACAGTTGCGATGCTGTAAGTCATACCAAAGCTATCTTATAGCATCGCAACTCGAAGATCTTACCCCATTGGGTACTCCATGCTAACAGTGAGCGCTACCAAAGGTCATAAAAGTTACCAGCACAAGAATGTTCCTATACGATATTTTTGCATCATCAACAGCCTTTACTAGTAAACTGCTGGACATAGGCCTCTCCTTAGAAAGGAGGTTTTGGTCTATTACACCACGCTAGCCTGGGTTGGTATAGGGTTTGTGTCAAGTTTTCCATCTCTCTGCAGTGCTGTTGTCCAGCGTAGTTTGCTCCCTTAGTCGCTTTTTACGACACCCACCGGATGAATAGGGGTGGTGATAATAGTATCACCACCCCTATATTGCAAAAATCGTCCGTGTGGTGACAGATTAAGAACACATAGGTGTTCTTAATCTGTCACCACACGGACGATTTTTGCAAAATTATACTCTATAGTTTAAAGTGAAAAATTCAGACACCTATAAAATTCTTTACAAAAAAGACCAAAAAAAAAACACGAGTTTAAAATAAACCAGATTTCTACAGTAATTAATTAAATTATTACTCACATCTGGATGTTCTTTTACTGGCACGTAAACTTTTTCTGTTAATGTGGTGACCATGCCTTCTGGCTCTGGTAGCACGAGTGGCTCTTTCTTAACTCCATTTATTTGGAATAAACTTGCTCGTACTTTTGCTATTTCTGAAAAGAAAAGACATAACAGTCATTAGGACACTCAAAACAGCTGCTCTAATAAATTTTAAGATGAAACATGTCATATCGAGTCGGTAATTTTGGCGTACCGACCCAAACATTTATTAGTAAAGATAAAACTTTATGCTCCTTTGAAATTCTTGGTTTTATGAGTTACCTACTTATTTTACTTTTAAGAAAACTAACAAAATTTGTAAGATGGTTTTCTTTGTTTTAGCGCGTGAATTATTTTGTATCCATGTGGTAGAATTTATTCTTGTTCTAAAAGTACGTAGGTACTTCTCCTTCAGTCACCTACATTATGTAATCAATATTTTTAGTTACAGTTACGGATAATAATACTTTTGAAGGCTACACCAACAGTTTATGACAGTAATGACATCATTCGAGACATGAATTGATAGATCTTATGTTGCACTGAAATTAAGTATGACTTAAATGACATACAGAATAAGAAAACTCAACAATAATAAATTACGAAATGGTTCTGATCATTTAATTAATACGTATAGAGATATTACCTAAGTAATGACACGTACCCTAAATAAAAACATTCAATGGAATAGTAATTAATAGGTATATAAAGAGGATCAAAGACCATATGGCTGGTTCGTGCAAAAATGTCATATAGAAACTTGTGATTTCAACACCGTATGTGAAGAATCGCTGTGCAAACACAGGGTCTCGTTTTATCTTCCTTATCCAGATAAAGTAGGTGAGTCATTACTAATTTCCGGACCGTGCAATCGGAGGACCATCTGTTTTGTGATACAGTTTAAAACGTGTTGTTTTATTTTAAGCATTTCATAACGTCGGCGCAAGTGACCGGTCCTTTTCTCATTGCACGACTCTTCGCATCTTCAGCCAATTCGAGTTTAAAAGTAGGTCTCCAAACTTTCCAGTTAATATTTTTGGCTAAAGTTATAAATTTCTCCAGTCATTTAAAACATATCTTATTCTTATCTGCAGATTTACTCTGTGGATATGTGTGGTCCTCTTCAATGCTTTAATCTCTCATACTATCAAATGGCTCATATGCTGAGACGCACGTATCCGGCTGACCATACTGAGTCGTCGAGGGGCTGGCGACAATGCGGAGGAGCTTTCACGCCATATATGGGAAGCAGAGTGAGTAAACAAGCTATTAACCTACCACGCGACTTGTGTGACAGCCGATGGATTATATATTTAATTGCCGTATTTTCAAATTGCAAATTGATGGCGATAGGGCTAGGATATTTTATGATTACTTGTTTTAATTTAATGATACGAGTATCAGGTAATCAATCTTATTTAGAATGTCTGCAACCATTGAAATTTAAATGCTATTTAGCTATATCAAACTATTTTTAATAAATTGAAGCATTATTTGCTACACCACATCATTTAAAAGCGTTTAACAAGTTGAAACATCTAAATGGTGAATACAAGGTTGCATCAAGGCGGAATCTTTTACAACTTGTCATAACAGACGTTGACGGGTGTCGAAACACTTGTAAAAGCATTGGGATAATACGGCAGTCTTTGACTCTAGGTACTTAAAAAAATAGAAGGTCTAAACAAAACAAAGGCGGACAAAGGAGGTTGTATTGTCGCAGGTTGTTTTGGGCGATGTCCATCAGTCATTCTACTTCTATGCGCTTGATTTTGATTAATGTTCTTGAATGTGATGAACAAGTTTCAGGTTATGTCGTCTGTAGAAGGTAGGTTACGAAAGTTTTTTGTGTACTATATACGTACATACATGTAAGACTTTTTCGTTTACAAGACGGTAACGAACTTTATAAGGGTCGCGATACTCGATCGGCATAACTTTTATCCGTATAAGGTAACGAAGTATTTTATGGTTCTAATGTCATACTTTATTTTACGTTACAAAGAAAATGTGAATTAGCCATTATTTAATGTATTGCGTTTTTCCCCGAAAATTGACCTATACATACCTCAGTTAAAAAAATAAGAAGTTACAGATGGCGAGACAAATGAAAAAGTTACCTACTTAGATTTTGGACCTCTAGACGTGTTGTTTTTTAACCCTTTCTTAGTGCTTGTCTATAATCTTTAGGATTCATTAGCATTCCAGAATTCAAGCCGGTAGGTACCTGCTTACTTACGTCCAGATATTTAGACTGTGCGTTGAAGAATTAGTCAGGACAAGTAATTATATGTGTAGATACATTTATTTAGATTAATGTTTACTATTAGATATTACATAAAATTACAAGCGTTACAACCTATAAACCACAAGAACAAATGCATCCACCTGGTTTGTACACAAAAACTCTATACCTACTCTTGCTTTTCGACTTTATTAGTCTTTAAAAGAACTGTTATTCTTCTACCTAACTAGAAGCTAATTAATCTTGAGCTCGACTCTTTCTGGTAACAAAAAGTGAAAGAAAACGAGATTTAATATTTAATTTTTCGGGGAATATCTTAATTGGGTAATAATCTCACTAACCCGAAAATGTAGGGTTTACTTTTTACTTTATTTGTAAATATTTAGAGATACTAACTTTTAAACTATCGCGTTCCATAACATATAATTACAAGTAATATAATTATGTATTACGGGAATTAAAGAGCGAGCGATAGGTGGATATTATCAGTTAGCCTGTGACCACGGCTAGTGCAACCTAGTCGAAATGTTAGGCAATACAAAGATATATTTACTTAATACCTATCGTGAGCGCATTAATTCTCGTTATATATGATAATAAAATGAGAGATACTTTGTTAACGAAAATAAAATTAGGTATACAATAACAACCTTTTAGTTTTTTATTAAAGTCAACCTACCAATTTTAAAGTTATAATAATGTTTGGCTTTTTATATTAGCTTGTAACAAGAAACAGTTGTCAATTTTTTTAAATTACTGACAATCTACTTACATTGATTGTATCAATGGTAAAATATCTTGTAATAAAGAAATTGTAAGATTTATATCATAACTTTTGAGGTTACTTACGTCAGTCATCGTGTCCTAATTTTAAACAAATGGTTCGAGTCTGGAGTAATGTATTTTTTAGTAATCCCAAATACAACGGAACATTTAATGACAACCAGCGTGTTTATCGCTTACGAACGAGGAAAACGTTAACCTATTTCTTATAAATAGTCTTTTTATTTTTAGGAAAACTAAAAAAACGGTTAATGACAGTTTCCACATCAGCCTTTTGCCATTATTGGATCTTTTATGTTTGGTTTCTACTACCTTGACAGAATACAAATGAAGAGTATTTGTTTTTCTTCTATTTTCTAGAACTCTAAATCAATTTTTATGTTTAGATTGAGTATTGAGGATTGATGTAAGGTTTAAAACATTACGCTTCAACTCTAAGTGGTGGAGCATTGTTTATAAATGCAGGTTAAACTGCGGTGAACGGTTTGTAAAAAAATCCAAATAGCTAACTGATTCTGTTCACAAACGGGTAAAACAAAACTACACAGTGTATAGTAGGTATAGCTGTTAACAAGCTTTAATTTTATCATTTACTCGAATTACTTTCGCGATCATCCTATGTGTGTACGTAATCCTATCCTTGTAAGGCTCATTTAGTAAAATAAACCACAACTATCTTTATGTCTAATAAGTTAAGATTGAAATTGCGTTGTGTATAATTGGCATCTTCATAACATAATGGTGTGTGAACGACAGCGTAGGATGAGCATTTTCTATGAGAGCAGAGCAAGCAAGTTGAGTCAAAGTCAACATTTCATTCGTTATCGTTTCTTTATGCTTTCGGTTCGCTTAAGGCAAGCATTCTGGGAAAGTTTCGTGTTTTTGGTAGCGAAACGTGACTTCTACAAAAATAAATGACCCATAATATACACATACCTCATACGGTGCAATGTATTGCCGAATGAAATTTATACAGACCAGATGCTCACGTTTCTATTTAAATACTATTTCCCATTTCAGAATAAACATACCTGTTAGTGCTTCCAAGCGAGTTATAATAAAGTTTCAGGATTCATGAAGATATTATTTAGTAGTACTTATTATTAATACGAACTTATTACTTTTAAGTCATTTGGAGGCAGCCAATATTGTTATATTTCTGTGACTAAATGTTTCAATTTTAAGGCTGTCAAAATCAGTTCATATTTTTTTGATAACGTTGTGTTTAAGTATCAAAATAAATAAATTGCAACTCTATTTTTTTTTAAATAACTAACTAATTGTTTGAGCCTGTAGTAACTGTTGCACTATTATTTAATTATTTAAATACTTATCCAAATTTACACATTTTTATTGCGCAATATTTTCGTCGCGAAATTATTTCACAAACAAAATATCATGCTAAAGCTATTATTCGAAACATGAGCATTTAAAAACTTTGGATTGTAGAATTTCATACTACGCAACGGTGTACTTCAGACGCTTGCATGCGTATTGATTCAAATAATGCAATGCATTTTCGCATTGTCGCTATCTACAATGGCGGCTTGCGATGCATTCACTCTGTAATCCCTCTCTCACTCATTTTATTCTAATACGCATTTAATAAGCAGCACCATCAACCGCAACAGTGATATGATCACACGCCTTCGTACGTGATTAGACGTTTATGCTCCACCACCAAGACTTGCCGCCCACAAGCTTTAATAGTTTCTAATAAAAACCTTAAACTCATTTTTATTGCTATGGTGCGATCTTTTAAATTAGTTATTGATGAACCAGGTGTTGACACTGAACAGTTATGATACAATTTTTACGACCTGATTTAAGATTTATAAAGATCTCCATATTCTATTACTCTGAATTTTGGCATACTGACAAAAATTCAATCGAGTTCAATCAACAAAATAGGGCCAACATTAACGTTCGAACAACAAGTTTTGGTTGAGCTTACATTTTATAATTTATAAAGTTGAATAATTTATTTTGCAATGTTAACTAGGTAAATGGCAAAATATATAAAGCAGTTTAAAAATAAATTCAATTTTTTTTGCATAAAAATTATGTAATACGTATACGCTAAAT